GTTTCTTTCTTAAAACTTCTGGTGCAACATATGGTAGTACTCCAAATATATCATTTTTGTTTGATGCAGATGTTTGACTAGCTGAGCATGATAATCCTAAGTCTGCAATATATGAAGCCAAATCAACTTGAAGAATATTGCCACTATGAAAGTCATGATGAATAATATCCTCTTTATGAATATCTTTTAATCCAATAATAATACTAGCAAGAATATTAATTTTTTCTTTCCAATTTAAATTTTTAAAATCTTTTGTTAAATAATCTTGAAGACTTCCATTATTCATATATTGCATCACAAATATATATTCTTTTGTAATTGGATCTTGTGTTAATCCATAGATTTGAATTATTTTATTCAATTCTTTATCGTGAAACTTTGTATAATTTTTGAACTAAAATAACAAATAAAATATTTAATTATGATAATTATCAAAAAAATCTAAAACCATCATTAATAAAATAATTTACCTCATTAAGAAATTCATCAGAAATATTCTGTGAATTATGTAGTTTTTTTAATGCCACAATCAAATCCTTGCTAGTTCTTTTATTATTATGATAATCTAAACTTTTATAACCATTTAACCAAGTAGCTTTGGATATAGTTCCAAAACCACCTTCATCCATCTTTTCAATGTTTGTTAAATCATTATAAGGAATCCATTGAAGATAATTACTCTCATGATACTTGGTTGATTTAAGTTGTGTGCTTTTAATCAACTCATCTAATGTTTCATTGCCACTAGTCCATCCTTCAGTTAATAGCTTTGGGTCACATGATTGACACCATGAATAATAGGTATTATATCTATAGCAGATTGGACATTCCCCATATTCTTTGTTTCTTTTATTTGAATAATCATCATTTTGAAGAGTTCCAATTTCCATGTAATGCATTACAAAGATATATTCTTTTGTAATTGGGTCTTGCGTTAATCCATAAATATAAATTTTATCATGGAACTTTGTATAATTTTTGAACTAAAAAACAAATAAAATATTTAATTACAACAACAACAATCAATAATATTTTAATAAAATATTTACCTTGTTAAGAAATTCATCTGAAATATTCTGTGAATTATGTAGTTTTTTTAATGCCACAGGCATATCTTTATTAGTTCTTTCATTATTTTGATAATTTACACTTTTATAACCATTTAACCAAGTAGCTTTGGATATGGTTGCAAAACTATCTTCACCCATCTTTTCAATATTTGTTAAATCATTATAAGGAATCCATTGAAGATAATCACTATAATGATACTTGGTTGATTTAAGTTGTGTGCTTTTAATCAACTCATCTAATGTTTCATTGCCACTAGTCCATCCTTCAGTTAATAGCTTTGGGTCACATGATTGACACCATGAATAATAGGTATTATATCCATTGCAGGTTGTACATTCCCCATATTCTTCATTTCTAATATATGGGTCTTCATAACCTTGAAGACTTCGATTTTCTATGTAACCCATTACAAAGATATATTCTTTTGTAGCTGGGTCTTGTGTTAATCCATGAATCTTAATTAGAAATGATTTATCATAAAATGTAACATAGTTTCTGAACTAAAAAAATATATTGAAATTGAGAAAATAATAATTTGAAAAATCTGAAAACCAATAGATAAATAAAATAATTTACCTCATTAAGAAATTCATTAGTAACATTCTGTGAATTATGTAATTTTTTTAATGCCACAATCAAATCCTTACTAGTTCTTTTGTTATAATGATAATTTACACTTTTATAACCATTTAACCAGGTAGATTTGTATATAGTTGCAAAACCACATTCACCCATCTTTTCAATGTTTGTTAAATCATTATAAGGAATCCATTGAAGATAAAAATCATTACCATATGCAGTTGCTTTAAGTTGTGTACTTTTAATCAACTCATCTAGTGTTTCATTACCACTAGTCCATCCTTCAGTTAATAGTTTTGGATCACATGATTGACACCATGAATGATAGGTATTATATCTATTGCAAGTTGGACATTTTCCATATTCTTTGTCTCTTTCCCTTGAATATTCATCATCATTTTTGTCAGTAGAAGTATCATCAGGATGTTTATTGTCATTTAAAGTGTTTTCCATTTTTAAAAAAAATTTTTTTTTAGCATATCATATATATATGAACAAGTGGAACACAGAATAATATGTTACAACTTTAAACTTTGGTGACACGAAATTATTAATATTATCTAGCAAAATGTGGGTTCGTATATTAATATTGATATAAATTTCCCCGACCGGGTCCCTGCAAAATTATGTTATACATGTTTTTAAATTTTCTCTTGTATCTCATTATTGTGCTAATACTAAGCAAATTTTCTCACCAATTGCAACCCTTAATATATGCAAAAATCTCAATTTTGATCAGAAAGGTTCCTAACCACATATTCCCAATATGACGAATGGAAATATTTATAAAACAAACATCTCTCATATCAATTGTCAAAAAAAAAAAAATCATTTAGATTTTTCTCATTTCATTTTATCTTTTTTTGGTCTCCCTTAAGACCAGGTTGTCCGTTTTCACACAATCAAAATCAAATCCTAACAATTCAACGAAGATGCTCTGCTCATAACAACGTAAACACGTCATTTGGTATTAGCTAGTTAAAAATATACGCACAGTTGCTTGAAAATCGTGTAACACTAAAAAACTACAAAATATGGTCACGTCTAAAGACGATACTAAAATCAACGATCTTTGAAAGTCAATAATTACACAAAATTTTATGATAATGTAAAAATTAAATTGATAAATTTAAAGCTAAGGACCTAAGCTTCATTTCTATCTGTCTGCTTTTTTCATTGTCATAAAATTTTGTGGAGTTATTGGGTCTTAAAGTTGAGGCATTTTAAAATTTAAAATTTCAGACCCTCTTTTGTTGGCCAATTTACTTTTAATATTAATATTAATATTAATAATAATCATTCTGGTAAAATCACGCGATAATATAATAATTGAAAATGTAGTCAATTAAAATAAATTTGTAAATTTCATCATATCTTTATAATGGGTTGTGTTTCTAAAAACAAACAACCAATAATGGTTTGTTTGGTAGGAAAAGACATAAGATTGATACTGGAATTGCTGAATCGAATGAAAATTTAAAATGAACGTGTGTGTACCTTTAAATTTGAATGACAAGGAGAATCAGATAAAATGGAGAACGAATTCGTGCACCAAAAAGACAACCGTCGCACCGATTTATTTTGACTTCTTTAATATTAAAAAGAGCAGTCCACCAATAAAAGTGAAAAAATACATGCTTTCATACCAAAATTACCACCATCAATCCATTCAATCACTACCACACAGATGATGCAATTCTTACAACAAACAAAACCACCACCATTAACATCACCCCCCCCCCCAATTCAATCATTATAACCAACACAAATACTAGATCAGGAAATTAAATCTTACGTAAACCTACGCGGAGGTGTTACCAGAATCACTTGATAGTGTCGATTTTGACCCTCGGCGTAGGTTTTAATTCCTGATGATGTCACTACCTCCGATGCAACTACCTCTGGTGCAATTAGTATCAGTCAGAAATGGAGGAGACATGCATCATCAAGCAACTATGATTCCTATAAGAATGATTGTTAGATTTGTGTTTAATGCTAGATGAAAGAAAAACGGGCGGCGTGTGTGTGTGTGTGGAGAACCCTTTATAAAGAATTTTGCCGTATGGAAAGTCTTGGCCGTCTTGTAGTTTTGAAGATCTCCGAGTTTAAAACTTCCAAAGTTGGTTCGTTCAAAGTGTAACATGACGATGATACATTAGAACATATGCGAAAACAGATGGAGGACAGTCCTCTGCATTCTGCGCTCAAATGGAAAAATTACGACTTGGTAAATGTCTATGGAAATTTTCATTTTCATTGCAACTTACATGGTAGAACGACAACAGGTGACCCGATATTTTTGCACAATCCACCATTGGCTAGCTTAACTTTAAGTCAATCGCCTTTCTACTTGATGATGAATGAATTAAACACCGATGTGGAATTATTACCAACAAGCATTTTAAACCTCAAGATACTTAAAATTTTATATGCTAGAAAGTTTGAAATCTTATTATTATTAATTTACTATTATTAAAATCAAGGATTTCTTTTTCGGGAAACAACAAATTAATCCTCATAATCATTATTAGTTATGAAAATCAACACGCAGAGTTTTAAAAATAACCATAATGAGGATGTTGTGTAATGGTAATAGTTGAATAGCAGCATTAGTGGTGACGGTGGCAGAATTAGTGGTGGTTGTAGTGATGGTGATTTAATGGCAATATTTCAAGGTATAAAAAAAGGAGTGAAAATATCAGAAATTAAAGAAGTTTGATGTATAATTTGTAAATTCATAAAAAAAAAAAAAACAAATTGGATGTTGTTAAATCCTCAAGTGAGAGTTTATAGAGAACACATGCGTAAATTGTCAATTTAGGATTCTCTATTTGCCATTGTCTGGGATTTTAGATGATGATTAAATTATAAACATCCAAAAATTGATAGACTTCTTGTCTTAACCAAGAGTCTCCATCAATCGAAGATCTGAATATTCGTATAATACATGTACAATGACAACGTTAGCCGCCAGTCAATAACTAGTACATATTTAAAAGATAATAATAATTTATTAAATAATAGTAAATTTATTACATTAAATATTGATATAATACATAACATCAATTAATCTACAACTACTGCATTTATTACTTTCTTCTTCCCTCCCAATTTATTGTAATAACATAAATATAATAAAATAAAAATATAATAAAATAAAAAAAGATATAATATAACAGAAAAATAAAGATAAAAAAGTAAAAAAAAAAAAAAGGATTATTCGTAATCCAAAAAAAAAAAAAAAATTCTCGTCGAACGTAGTGAGTGATTTTTCAAGCTCTTAGTATACTAAGCGTCAATCTATAGTCGCCCAATGTTACATCGACTGATTTCTCTCTTGACGCATCCGCATCCTCTGTGATACCTATATAAAATTTTGAACTAAGTGTAAAGTAGATAAAGCTTTTAATAAGTGATGCATCAGATTTTATTGCTGGTGATATCAAAAACCAATCACAGGTCTGTTGATAGCGCAGGAACCAAGTATATTTACATGTGGTTAAAACACCATGTATTGTTTTTAGGTTATGCATTTCCTTCATAAGATTTTCGACGTGATATGCAAAACTATTGTTGTCCGAATGCAAAAAATTACTAGGTTTCTCAAGATCTTTCTCGTTTAAGGGTATGTCTTTGTCTGATTTTATTGATATTATTGAAAATATTCTCTCTTTGGGATCGAGAACCGTTGGTTGGTGTGATACAGTCCAATGGAATGGTTTTGTGACGTAAGTTTCTGTATTTTCATGATAAACAAAGTCCCTCGGATTATACATAGCCGTTTTTAGAGTATTTAGTATATTTCTTTCAAACAAACGCTCCAGTTGTTCCGCTGATTCATAAGTTAGTATTTGAACGGGATTTTTTTCGAGATCAATTTTTTTTATTTCATTAAGATACATATTATTCACGCTTTCTACAAACTTCGGCCAGACACACGAGGCATATGTACATTTTATTGGTCCAGTCCGTTCAAACCCTTCAAATGCGTATTGATAGTTATCAGAACATATAAACTCAGGAAGTTTTTGATCACAGATTTGTTCTTGTGTGAGAGATTCTGTTATAGTAGCTTCAGGATCGGACATTTTACAAATTTATTGACGAAGAATTCAGGTTTATTAAGAAATAAGGAATTAATCAAACTCTTTATTTTTTCATTTACACTCTGAACCTAAAGGCATATTTATAAGAAAGAAAAATAATACAAGAAGCTTTGAGATAATTCAATAAATTAATAATACGACGAAACTAATTAAATTACAAAAAAAACAATGAATGACAAAACAATTATTTAATATGTTGATAGAGACTTGATAAAGCTAAAACACGATCGCAACAAAAAAATAATAGCAATTTTACAATACAAATAATTTTAATGTTTAATCAATAAAATACTGGCAATAATACAAATCATTTTGCAGCCTCTCTATAATACAAAATTATTGTAAATAATTAATAAAACAATATCACGAATTTGTAAAATTTGAAATTAGTTACTTAACAAATAAAATTCACGCTAGATAACACGAATTCGAAAAATATAAAATCATGAAATTAACGCAAATTTGCTAAATAATTAATCAACAACAATAATACCAAAGTAATTACTAAAAGATAACGCGTGAATTGAAAAAAATTGTTGCAATTATTGGGAAATTTGTGAAACATCAAAATGTATAATTCACTCACTGCATTATGTAATTCGGTTTTTTTAAAGAATAACATGAATTATTTATTATTTTAATACATCTTTGGTGAGAGACTAGATACTTCAAACAATACTATAGTCACTTTTCCCATACGTGAATAATATAAAATTTTAAAGACGTAATTAGCAAGATAACTCAAGTTCAACCCGCATTTATTTTAAATCATTGCAGACGTAACCAAATCTTTTTTTTTTTTTTTTTCACTGGTATTATAATTATAAAATATTAATTGGCAGGCCTATTCATTACCAACCTGGGTAAACAATTATCATAAAAACTGCTCGGATAACCAATACGGTATATATGATATAAATTTGTATTGTTGCGCCGATAATAACATAAAAAATGTTGTCGTCAGGTAACTTACATAAAACCAGTTTATATATATCCAGTGATTTCTATCTCGTCATTATTTTAAAGTGAGGTGACTTGATTAATTTGATTAATTTTTTACTTGTTGGAATACATTATATAATCATTAAATATGTATTCGTAGTTTAAAATAAAGCAAAAACCAGTCTTCTGATTATTGTTATTATAACGAATAAATAACTTGATCTTTTCTTGTACCTCCATGACAAGAATTATTACCATTACAATTAGTTTTAAAATCATTACTATATACCATTACTGTAATTACTACACTATAGCGCCCCTTGTGTCAACGAAGCTGTTTATTATTTTTTCTCCATCACCATTATTGCCATTATTGTCATTAGTATGAAACATTGATGTATATCTACCAGAAAATTTGTTGACTCATATCAGGATCGGTGCAGAAAATTACCCGGTAATAGAAACGAAATAGTGCTGTGAGGTTTATGGTGCTGTCGTTCTTGTTGTTGTCGTTCTTCTAGTTGTTGTTAAACAAATAAAAAAAATTATTATTGTTACTTCTGATGATATTTATTATTATTATTATCTGAAAATTCTTTTAACGTTTTCATCAATTCTCGCCAGTAAGGAACCTTCGGAAGCCTTGGACGATATCCACTTTTAGAATATTGCTCAAAGGGTTAACGTGAACCTGAGTTGTCGAGTACAATCAGTGGAATAAAAAAAACCACATGGAAGCATAACCGAACCGGATATCTGCTTTCGAATCGGTTTACAATTTCCAAACTCAGGCACAAAAAATACACCAGCCAATATTCCAAATTTTAAATCGTAATAGCGGTTTTTTTTTAAAAATTTTATTAATTATTTAAATAATCCTCCCACACACACACACATCACCACCACACCATAATCATCAACACTCCGATTCTTATATTAATATTAAAAAAAGTGGTTTGAATCCGGTTTCCGTCAACTCAAATACAAATAATAATAATCGTTAATATTAATATTAATTATTTATAACAATAATAATAATAAATAATCCCAAAAAAAAAAAAAAAAAAGTGTATTAATATTAATATTAATATAGCGCAAAGACACAATAAGATTTACGGTCACGTGGTTTGTGAAAAACGGAGCAATAAATAACAATAATATATATTAATATCTTGGTCATAAAAAAAAGTAAACAACAACTTATCATCCAAGAAACATTTGAAAAAAAAATGATGGTGATGGAGATTATTGTCCAAAACTCATCATCATTCTAGTTATTATTATAAAATTAAAAACTCTGCCAATAAACTTCGAAGGACTTGACGAATGATATTGGTGATCGCAAGTCAAATACTTGGAATTGGTAAATATAGGATTTCTTCAAGTAGTAAGAAACGTTCTAACATTCCATGATATTGAAAAATTCACCCACCAACAACATCCTTGGATGATAGATGACAACTATCCCGCCATCAACACTAAAATACCACCACCACCACCACCTACCTATTTATTCTGCTCGTATCCACCACACATTCAACAAAATCTGCCAGGTAAATATATTATTGAGGTTGTGGAAATTTCTGGAATTCTTGTTTTTATACAATGATAAAGCATATTTAGTAGACGAGATAAATACTTTTTTCACAATCAATACCTGATAATGTAGCAAACTCATATGTGTTGAAAGGAATAAATAATAATAATAAAACTAATAAATAAAAGAAATAGTTTGAAACAACAGCTACATCGAATAACAACCGCAGTTTATGCATCATAAAAAAGTTGTCATGGAATCCAAATAAGATTTTTGCATCAAAGTTGTACAAAGACTGCCAAAGATGATTATTATTTTTCGTAAAGTTCTATCGTTTGGGTAAAATTTATGATTTATATCAATCATCACATGTATAAAGTATTAATTCTTTGTTTTAATATCATTTATTGGTCGAATAATTGAAAATTGTTGTTTAAATCGCAACCGCAGTTGATTCTGAAAGTAGCTCATCTAATATCAAACCTTCTATATACCGTCAAACTCAAGCACAATCTCGCAATGTAGATGTGTGTATATATATATATATATTTACGCTATTATCATGTCCCATTATTACTACGTATTACATGCTCATATAATCAATCATCTTTAAAGTTAAACAAAAAGAAAAAAATTCCAATTTCAAATTTGTGCTAATCACTCCTTCACTCTCCCATAGATTCATCAGGTAATTGGGTGTTTTGTCTAATCACATTTACTTTGGTGATTGTGGCACTCTTTTGAAGTAAAGGTTCCAATGTGATTATATATATATATATATTTCTCTTGGATCCAATTTGAAAATTTCCCAAGTGAATTAGGATCTCAACCAGATTCTTATTAGATCAGATTCTTTTTTAAAAGCAAAATCATCAATCAACCACATATGATATGTCCAGTCCCTGTTCAGATCCACAGTACAATGGAAAATTCTTGTTTGATAACTCCAACTGATAACAAGGACGAGTCTATGGTTTTGAATGTTCCAATGTTTGGTTCCTTTATTGGTTCTCTTGCTAACATTGCATCTCAATTAAAGCATGATATGTTACTTTACTATACACTATCTTTACGTATTCTAATTTCTATCTCAACGCCAATAAAATTTCTGTGACAAAGTCACTTTCACTATATATCAACCAACCAACCAACCAACTATATCAATAATATAAAGCGAGAGCGATTTCTACAAGTGTAAAAAATTCATGATCTACTTTTGATTTTAGATACACCGGTCATATGATGTTGATTTATGGCCAATCAAAATAATTAATGTTCTTTTCCCAAAAAAAAAATATTATTTAAAAAAAAATTACTCGATTTCGATCAAAAATATTAATAATAGATACAATAATATATAATTCATAAATTAAAAAAAGAAAAAAAAAGATGGTTGTTTGTAAATATTTTATTGAAGGACGTTGTAGATTCGGTAATTCATGTCAGTATGAACATTCTGGTCAACCCTCCTCGTCCTCGTCTTCCTTTTCATCAACTCATCATCAGCAACAATCACGTAGTACTGGTCAAAACAACATATACTCACGATTAGGCTTCTGTAAGTTGAAAGGAGAAACATTCACATATATATATATAATTCACTTATTTATTGATTGATTTTGATTTTAGTATAAATTTAATTTATTTATTGTTTTCTAATAAATTCAGCGGCGAAACAAAATAATGAGTATACAAGCATAATTTTTATATATACATACATACACATATATACACATTTATTTATTTTTTATTTTCTCCATTAATTAAATTAAATTAAATTAAAATTGAATTATTAAATTAATTAAATTGTTGAAGGGCCGAAGCAAATTTAAGAAAAGACTTGATTGAAGAGAGACCGATATATCGATATTCAGTATTTGCTCCAATGAAAGACGAACCTAACATGATAGAAGGAACAGATTTTTCACCGGAAGAATTAAGATTAGAATATTATAACATTAACAATACGTATGGAAACGACGCACAATATGTACGTGCCGTAATAATTCTTCGTTTATAACGACAAAATGTTTAAATTAATTAAATAATAATAATAATATTATTATTATTGTTATAATGTTAAATAGCAACAAGGTGTAAGAGATTTAGAAGAAAGAATGCAAAGTAAAATTGATTCAATACTTAAAGATGTTAGTGGTGCATGTAACGAACATGAATTAAAGAAACAACAATTAAAACAGCAACAACAACAACAACAAACGGCATCATCATCGATATTTGGAGGTGGATCGATTAATAATAATAATAATAGTTATGGAGGAGTGGGGGGATTTCAACAACAACAAAATACACCAAGCATTTTTGGCACATCGTCTTCTTCTTCTCTAACTAATAATATCAATCCATTTGGCGGCGGTGGTGGTGGTGCAAATATGGGCGGCTTCGGTAATAATGGATTTGGTGGCGGTGGTGGCAGTAGCGGCGGCGGTAATACATTTGGCGCGGGAATGGATCTAAATTATGCTCTAAATGGTAGTGGTAATGGTGGATTAGGATTTCAATCACTGCAACAACAACAGCAACAGCAACAACAGCAACAACAACAACAGCAACAGCAACAACAAGCTTCGACGTTTTCACAACAAAAAACGACCGGGTTATTTTCGTCGCCATCTTCTTTGTTGTCATCATCGACTACTAATTCGTTTGCACAACCACAAGGTTTTAATCTTCAATCAAATACTGCTAATAATAACAACACAATGAATCCAAATACTGACAATAGTAATAATAATAATAAAGGATATGATCTTTATAACTTTCCAGAAATACTTTAATTATAATATTAATATTATTATTATTATTATTATTGTTGTTGTTGTTGAATATTAATTAGTGATGAGTAATTAGTATTAATTAATTGTAACAAACAAAGCATTGGTCACCATTATGATTATCTATTTATTATATATATTTATATATATTAATCTTCTATTTCTATCTTTTTTTTTTTTTTTTTGACTTTTTTAAATAAATAAATTTACATATTCTTTGATATCTTTGACGTCGTTTGGATTGTTGGCATGTAAAGAAGGTAGACGCGTTTTCACGTGATCACATAAAGAATGTTTTAGTGAAAAGAGAATCCCTCCCCTATCACTGGTGTGGTTATTATTATGTGATTGCGGTGTGTATATGTATGACAAATAAACAATTTTCCGAAAATGTAAATATTTACATGGTGTAAATCTTGATTATTTATTATTATTATAATTTTTTTTTCTTTTCTCAAATTAATTAAATTAAAAAAAAATGAGCTTTGGTAAAGAATTAAAGGTAAACGTTTAAAACAGATACGCGCAAGTTTCCGCACGCATATAATAATGTATTTTTTTTTTCCAAAATTAATTAGGATCAATTTTCAAATGTAAATCAATTCGTTCAAGGTGGAATACAATTTTTAAACGAATTTAGAGATTTTCTAAAAGAGCGAGCACAAATAGAAAAAGAGTATGCACATAAAATAGAAGGTCTTGTAAAGAAACATTCAAGTAAGCGAGACAAAAAAGTAATTGTAATGTCTATTGGTGAATCGGCTTCTTCACTTGCAACCGATTTCGATATTAATAAAGATTCAAGGTATTATTTCTGGTTCATTATTGATATTAATATTAATTTACTTGCGTTACTGATATGTCATGTCTTATAAAATGTATAATTAACACGTATTTGTAAAAGTACAACATTAAAGGCATGGATGACTCTTCTTGAAGAAACTGATAATATTGCTAAAGAGAAATTAAAATTGTCAGAGACAATAACATCTAGTATAATGGAACAAGTTAAATTAGTTTCAACAAAGAAAGAAGAAATTCGTAAAAAAGTAAAAAATGAAATTAATTGATCGATCGATCGATTTTACAAATAATAATAATAATATTAATAATCAAATTTTTAAAACATGATTTGTTTATTAAATAATTTAGCATTCAAATTTCGCACAAAAATTAGCATCTGACAGAGATAAAATATATTCAGAAAAACAAAAGGTACTCTTATATTATAATATTTATTATTATTGGATTATTTATTTATTTATTATTTGTTTATTTGAACAAATTTACAGGCTAAATCACGATATGATGAGTGTAGCGTAGAAGCGCAAAATTCACAACAAAAACAATCAAGAGCAGATGAAAAATTATTAGATAAAGTAATATAATATAATGGTGAAATAATAATAATAATCATTTAATAATTATAGTAATAATTTATTCTTCAAAAAAAAATTTTTTATTTATTTGTTTATTTATTTATATTTATATTTCTTTTATATCTATATTTATTTCTTATACTTTTTATATTTATAGTTACGAAAACAAGCAGAACATGATCTTATTGAGATGAATAACTCCAAAGTAGGTTGATAAGTGGTTAATTGATGTATTTGATATGATAAATTTCTAATAATAATATTTTTAAATTAGAATTTATATGTTTTATCAATTCGAGTCGCAAATGAAGTTAAAAAAAAATATTATAACAGGGATATACCTGCTTTAATAGATGTAAGTGATTAATTATTATATCATGAATGGTCCTAATAACAATGTTTAATAATAATTATTATTATTACTGTTGTTGTTGTTATTATTATTATTATTAATAGCAATTACAAGATCTTAATGAAAGTAGAATAAATGCATTAAAACAAATATGGGATGATTATGTGGATTATGAGTTATCATCGCTGAGAGAGTCAAAGCAACATCTTGAATTAGCACGTCAAGTCATTAGAGAAGTCGATAGTCGTACTGATTCGGAGCTTTTTGTGGAATACAATAAAAAAAATTGGGAGGAACCATCAGATTTTGTATTTGAAGATTCTGTCAATCACAGTAATAATGTATGTGATAATATGGTGTGGCCTAAAATATATTGGTGTATACAACTAATTTATATTTGTTTATTTAACCACTTTATAGGATGAATTAGTTGATGACGAAAATTCTAAAGTGTTTCTTAATAATAAACTTTCAAAAGCAAAGCGAAAATTATACACTTTAATTCCTGAAATTGAAACAAAAAGAAAACATATCGATGGAATGGATTCACTGAAAGAAGCATATGAAAATAATCCAAAGCTTGGTGGAGTTGATGCTGTAACTGATGTATGCGTATATTATAATCTTGATAATATTTGATATATTTTAATTATTAATAAACTAATATATTTGTTAATTATAAAAGAATTTACACGAGACAATACGAGAAGTTACAATATTGGAAACAATGAAGGCAAAATATCAGACTGAAGTGGATTCCATTGTTCAAGTGGTTGGTGGTAAGCATATGTATTTTTTGTATATGTATTTATTTATATAGATTCGTATGTATTTATATCAATTTATTCATTCATTAACTCAGATATTGGAAATGATAGCCAATCTCACGATTTCAAAAGTGCTTCATTTACTATACCAACAACTTGTGATCTGTGTCAAGCTACCATATGGGGAATAGCAAAACAAGGTTTCACTTGCAAAGGTATCTATCATATATATTATATACTATATGTTGTATAAATTATTTGGATTATAAATTATAAATCATAAATTCGTATTGTAATAATAATAATTTGCTGCTATTATTACTACAACTACACATCATAATAACATTAATACTACTATAAAGAATGTGGATATAATTGTCATGCAAAATGTGAGATGAAAGTACCGCCAACTTGCACAAAACAAAAAGGAGTAATAAAAAGAGGGCTTGTAAATAGTGGAACATTTTCGTCAAATACAATATCTCCTTGGGGAACTTTTTCCAGTAATTTCTAATAATTTTTTATATAAATAAATCTATTCGATATATATATATTTCGTTATTCATTTATTTTATTTTTGTAGGTGCATCCAATTATAAAGTAGAAGGATCAACATCTTCACCTCCATCATCATCATCATCGTCTAATGAAAAGGGTGGCGATGATGATGACGATGATGGTGACGGTGAAGAAGGTGAAGCATGGTTAGCAAAAGTATTATACGACTATACTGCTGATAGTGAGGTTGAATTAACAGTAACTGCTGGCGATATCATAACAGTCATTGCACAAAACGGTAAATATAATTTCATACAAGAGGTTTTTAAAAAAAAATAAAAAAAAATAATACTTATTATATATTTATCTGTATATATAGATGGAAATGGATGGGTTAAAGTAAATAATATTATTTATTTATTTATTTTCTAAAAAAAGTTTAAACTATTAAATTTAATTAATTAATTAATTAATTTTTTACAAAATTAAAGGCTACTTTTAATGAACAAGAAGGTTTGGTTCCTGCTGCATATATAGAGTATCAAACATTATCTAGTGATTTTGGTAGCTAATTTAAAAATATTTAATTTAAAACTTGATTTAATCTAATAAATTCGATTTCATTATTTAAATTATTCAAAATTTTTTTTCTTATTCAAAAAGTTAAAGTTCTTTATGATTATGAAGCTCAAGTACCTGAAGAACTTACAATAAAAGAAGGCGATGTTATTGAAATAACTGATCGTAATGTCGCTGATGGTTGGTGGGAAGGTAATTCATACGTGCATATATGATATATGTTTAATTTGGTTGAATTGCAATTCTAAACAAATTTAATTTTTGTCATTTGTTCATTTGTACCATTTATACTTTTTATTCTTAGGTAAACTTAACGGTGTCACTGGTCAATTTCCTGCCAATTATGTTACATTGATGGATTGATGATCGAAGAACATGTTGTATATTTATTATTGTTATAATTATTATAATATTTATTTAAGATCGTATCATTGTTATTATTATATTACATTATATTTTATCATTATTAATATGGCATATTATAAAATACATACATAATATAATTTTTTTAAAATTTTATATGTAGTAAAATAAATAATCAGCTCAAACAAGAATTATTTATTGTGATTTTAATTTTTAATCCAAAATTTTATTTGTTACATAACAAATAATAAAGTCATGTCCATTGGATGTGATCTTTATATATATATAAAACAATTAATTATAAAGAAATTTATGAATTAGTGAGTGAATGAATGAATGAATGAACAAACGAACGAAACGAACGAAACGAACGAATGAACGAACGAGTAATTTTAATGATGATGATGGTAAATCTACAATTTTACTTACGAGCTAAGTTGCGGCTTTTGCGAATATTTTTCTGCTAAAATATCTCTAATATAATTTAATAATTGTTGATATGATATATTTCTATTCGATCTTAATCTAAAATAAACAAATTATTGAAATAAATTGTTTTCAAATAATTATTAATTTTTTTGATAAAAACACTTATTTGGTGCAAGTAAGAAAAGAAAAACTAACGTTTTTATGAATGCGTATGACATTGCTCCTGTGCTTTGTCCCGCTTCATTAGTATCTGCAGAAGTTTGTATATCTTTACACCTGATAAAAAAAATTTTTAAAAAATTAATTAATACAACAACATTCATTCCAATCCTGTTTGATTTCACCGTTTCCTTTCCTACGCTTTCTCCTCCTTCCCATTCCCCAACCCCCTCTTCCCCTTTTCTACTTTCATCCTTTTCCCAATCGCTAATCATATACATACCCACTAAACATTATTACATCAGCAGGACTTGATTTATTTTGTTTATTCCTTTGAGAAATTTTATTACCCGATACTACTTTTTTACCAAATGACATCAAAGTTGTTTTTATTCCGGTAATATCACCTCTCAAATACGACTTTCCAACGGTTAGTATAGCATTTCCTCCGTCTGAAATAATACTTGGTTCTTTGATCATTCCACGAGTTGAATATACGTATGGTAGATCGAGAGCTGTACCAGAATGGCACGAATCAAATATGGCTGTTAATCTAACCCCAGGTGGTAACGGTCGAACCATAATTGCATGCATGTCCTAAATATATATATTATATAAAGCAAATATATTTTTGCGTTAAATGAAGTTTTATAATCATGGTTTTTTTTTAAAAAAATTAATTACATCATCAATAATTGTCCCATTTCGTTTAAAATCTACTGGCATGATAGATTCATCGTATCCATCCTCTTCATCGCCATTTCTATCTTTTTCTTGACCACCGTGTCCACTAAAATGAAAGAAAAATCTAAATTAAAAAAATAAAAGATAATTAACATTTATCACAAGTAATTATAGGATATTTATAAATAATAATAATAAAAGAAATTTTTTTTTATATATTTACGAATCATTTGCAGCTGCACCATTCACCAACCAATGCATCGCTTTTATAATATTTGCTCTATTTGGAATATTACTTGGATTTGTTTGATCATCTGTCAATATCACCATGTCACTTTCACGAAAACTATACAACTCTATTAAAAATTTTTTTATGTTGTTTACATCATTTATACAGCCTTTTAACAATATCAATAGGATGTGTGATATATATGATGAATATTATCAATATTAATATTTATTAAAATAAAATTTAAATTAAATTGATTGAATTAATAAAAAATAAATCAAACAACCTTTCAATTCATATGGTGTGTTAAAATAATTAATTCCAATCAATAATGCTCTTTTTCTACCACTGCATTTTGATAATTGATAATTGAACGGTGGTCTGCCTGGCGTTTCATGTGTAGCAGATGTTGGAGGTGGCGGTGGTCCAGGTGGTGGTTGATATTTAGTAGTTGTTAAAGGTGGTGGTGGTCCAGGCGGTGGTTGATATTTAGTAGTTGTTAAAGGTGGTGGTGGTCCAGGCGGTGGTTGATATTTAGTAGTTGTTGAAGGTGGTGGTGGTCCAGGCGGTGGTTGATATTGAGTGGATGTTGGAGCAGATGTAGTAGCAGATGTAGTAGATGTTGGGGGTGGTGGTCCAGGTGGTGGTTGATATTGATAATAAGGTGGTGGTGGTTGAGTTGAAGGTGGTGGTGAAGGTGGTGGTAAATAACTACCACTATTACGATTATTATTATCAATAGGCGGCGGCGGTGGTCCTGGTGGTGGTTGATATTGTGTAGACGTTGGAAGTGATGGATAACCGTTATTACTAGTAGGTGGCGGATAAGTTCCAGTTGATTGTGGAAATGGAGGTGATGGGTAATTGTAATTACTGGATAATGGTGGTGGTGGACCTGGTGGTGGCGCATATCCACCGACTGTTGATGGGAATGCTTGTGGCATAACGAAACCTCCAGTTGAATTTGGATATTGCGGATATTGCGGATATTGCGATTGTTGCGAGTATTGCTGTTGTTGTGGATATTGCGGATATTGTGGATATTGTTGTGTAGGAGGTGGTTGATGATTTGGTTGCTGTGAACCTGGATAACTCGGATTTTGTTCTTTTCCGTATTGATTTTTATATTGTTGTCCTGGATACATTTTTTATTCTTTTGATTTTTTATTTTTTTTTCTTGGCTTGGTAATATATTGGTAATAATAGTAAATGAAATTGATGGAAGTAGATCGTGAATATATATATATATTTAAAATTGATGTGGTACCAAATGACACACAAGACAGGGAATAGTAAGAATAAAACTCACAAAAATATACTAATAAAATCTCAATTGCTTCTACATCAAGTTACACACCAAAATCGATGAAAATGCAGAAATAAAAACTATTGTTATCGCAATTTTGTCATTTTTCGTGTTACCATTAATATTAACAGTGTTGAATTTCAATTGGACATCTATAGAAAACACCTAGAGACCTATTCTTAGTCACAATTCATATGATTTTCAATCAAGTTGTTTAAACTTGCTTTATACTTGTTTTTTTTCTGTTAACGAGATAAAAATCCAAGAGTTGACTGATACAGGAGTATATCAAGATCCAGTTATATAAATGAATAAGAAAGTAGGCTCGACAATGAATTATTAACGAAAATGATATAAAAATTTAAGAAAGTATTTGCGCTTTGATCAATAATATAAAAAACAAATTTTGTTAATTATAAAAGTCAATATTTTGCCAATCACTTCTCTGCATTAGTATTATTATTATATCCGATAGAATAATCCTACGTATTATTTTACTATTACTATTTCCCGAAATAGGTTAATCCTACCGGAAATTGTCCGAATCAGGTAATTAATGTTACTATTAGCATTAGTATTAGCAGTCGCGTGACATTTTTCACTGATCTATAGGAGGTTGTAAAATTTGGACGACCTGCATCATAGTAAAATTTTATAATCGAATGTCTTCACCCCTCGTTTGATACCCTTGCTGTGTAGCAACCACACCAAATTTGAGATATAACTTCTTCATCATATGTATCTGCTTTAAGAAAAATTTTAAGGCAGGTTGTTAATAAAACCGAAAATAATCTGACCCTCAAAATCAAATTTTGCCTTTATATTCATATATGTAAAAATTTGTTTGAAGCATCCAATTGCAAGTATAAGTAGAAATAAAATGTCCAATATAAATATTTACAGATTTTTGATCACTTAGGTGTGTGTCTTTTATAATAAATAAATAGATATTAAAATTTTTCTTTACCTATATACATAAGTAATTAGAATAATAAACAAGCAACAATAATGATTAAATTAAAAGGTGCTTTATCTCTGACTTTATTCATTTAATTATTTATCATAGCGATGTTATTAAATATAAGTTAAAAAAAAGAAATTTATAAATAATAAACATAACTATTTAATGATTGATAAAACGTTTATTTTTGTAAACTTGCTTTGCAAGCTTCATAGATCTTGTCCTTAACGCTTGCTTCAACCACTCCTATACAAACTATTGAATAATTGATAAAACGTTCATTAGTATATTTTGCAAGTTCCATAGATCTTGTCTTTAACACTTACTTTGATCACTCCTACACAAACTATTGAATAATTGATAAAACGTTCGTTAGTATATTTTGCAAGCTTCGTCCTTAATGCTCACTTCGATCACTCCTATACAAACTATTGAATAATTGATAAAATGTTCATTAGTATATTTTTCAAGCTTCATAGATCTTGTCCTTAACACTTACTTCGAACACCTACATAAACTGGAATCTTAATCTTTATTGTCATTCTCAAAAAAGATGATTCGTTGTCGTCGTTTGCTATTTGTTGCTACTAATATTATTGTTGGATGTTGTTATAACAACTACTGATTGACGGATATTCATAATAATCATTAAATGAAACCTTAATCAATATAAAGTCAGAAATATAAAACGATCACTAACAAAATAAATACCTTTAATTTTTGCTGAATTCCATCTACATAAAATTCTTCATGACTATTAAATTTCTATAAAATAGTTTTACTATCAAGTCTTTTAAAGCGATATTGAAAAATAACCTGAGCTTTGAAGTGAAAAAGTAATACCATTTTTGAATAGCCGTGAATTCATGTAGATAAGATCTTTCAGTATGAAAAAGTATTCATTAGAGCTTTAATGGAGTACTTTCATTTTACTCTAACAACGAAGTTGGTGTTTATTATAAAAATAACGATATGTCACACGACCATTAGTGTAGTGAGATAGTAATAGATTGACTGTTTCAAATGTTATCAAAACATTACACAAGCAAATAATCAATATAAATTTTCCATCTAAGGAAACTGATTTCCACCATTTATACTATTTAAAAATCCATAAATGAAAATGATAAAACGCGTTGAGGTTTGCAAAGAAATAAAGATCCACTTCATTTTTTCAAGCGAAAGATTCGAACGAAAAGAGAAAAAAGTTACTGATACAAGTTGCCAGAATGTTTGTCTTTAAAAATATTATTTGTACATATGTAAACTCGATAAGTCAGTCATGTGGGGGTGAGCTCATATGACCGACTTATCGAATTAAATTACTTAAATATTAAGAAAATGGGGTGAAAATTTTGGCCGACTTATCGAGTGACCGAATTATCGAGTTTACATATGTAATGTCATTTTTTCGTTTTGTTTATCATGTATCAACCTTGGGTATAAATGGAAAATTTACCAGAACTTTTAAATAAAATATTTAATTATAATGCGCGATATTCATGCACTCTAGTCAATAATGCTACATTAATTTATGTATGATGGACTGAATTTAGAATTATTTTACAGCAATGAAGTAAAACCAAAAGTTTAAATACTGTGCAGTTTAATGATGGCCGTAAACTTACTTTTTCTAATGATACATTGGGAATTCTAATTAATAAATTAAACCTTTAAAAATAATTATTATTAAAATGGTAAAGGATATAACATTTTCGTCAATTTATCAATTTATGAATTATTGTATTTCATTCTTTGAATTCATTAATACATAATTATATTTTTTTCTATCAAATTCTTGGATGTATAAATTTCTTCTAAAAGTTTTAGATTTATTACTTTTTTAGAAATCAAATTTAGAATTCGTGTGTAAAACAGATTAATCAATAAAGCAAATGACTTTTAGTGATTGTATCAAATTAAAATGATATTCAAATAAAGGCACATAGATATAAAAGCAGTAGTAATGAATATTTCACAGCCTGTTACTTAGTGTTTACATATTTATATATCTTTTTCATTTTTTACATTTGTTTAAAGCGTGGATGATGTTGTTATACCAATATTTGAAAAGATTTCAAATATTGCAACCAAAGCTTATGAAGCTTATAAAAATGTAAAATACTTCAAAAAATTATCTACAGAGATATATGATAGAATAGAAGCAGGAGCACATCATTTTAAATATCTGCAAAGACATTAAAGAAAAATTTAGGGATAAAGATTCTATTGATAACCTTCAACGTTATGTCAATGCAGTGACTAGTCTTACAAACTTGCTTGTTGAATTTTCAAAGCATTCATTAAATTATAAAGATAAAATCATTGAAAAAATAAAAAGATATGATGAGAACCTTGAAACAGTTGAAAACTTATATGTACTAGTTGAAGAAGGATTCAATGATGTATCCCAGGTAATAATAGAATCCAACAACAATAATAATATATATTTTTTTTATTTTAATAGACAACGGCATCAATGAAAAACAATATGGACAATAATATGGAGTTTCCAATGGAAATGGTTGTAGGGGTTAACAAAAGCATTAAAGAATTAAGCAAAAAAACAGATCAATCTGATTTTAAAAAGTGAGTTCTCAGATAAAGTTTTTGATGATTATAAATTAAAAGATCCACTATCAGGTGAGGATACAAGACATTGCAAAGTTTTTAAAAAATTATTTAATAGGGTTTAACCAGTTGCTTGTAAACCATTTGAAGCTTCAACAAATGAAAAGGAAAAGGAATTATTCAATGGATATTTGACAATCTTAAGTAACTTACAACATTCAAATAGTGTTATAGCATTTTATGGTGTATCATGTGTTGATGGTAAAGATGTTTTGGTATTTGATTGGGTTGAGTTAGGAAGTTTAAAAGAAGTATATGAAAAAAATCCTGTGATCACTTGGAAGGAAAACTTAAGATTGCTCATGATATATGCCTTGGACTTCAATTTATACATGAATGTCAACTTTTTCACTGTGATGTTAGATGTGAAAATATCTTGGTCATGGGACCTGGGCTTGCAACACCAAAAATTACAAATTTTTTCCCAAGTAGAAAGCAGATGGATATGAGCAAAAAAATTCCATCATTAAATGATATCATGCCTTGGATGGCACCTGAAAAACCGGATCTCAGAGGAAGATATACAACCAAATATGAGATTTATTGCTTTGGTATGCTTCTATGGGAGCTTGCATTTCAACAAGTTCCATATTTGAAAAGATTTAATAGTGATTATGAAGAAATTTCTCAACATATCAAGAGTGGTCAGCAAGAATATTTAAATTTTGATAAGTCAGATGAAATTCAAAGATGTTTTAATCATAATTTCTAAAGGTAATGTGATTTATTATATATTATATAAAATATTGATAATTAAAAAATAAAAATTGCTAAATGATTGATCAAAATCATTTTTTAATAGCTTGGCATAAAAACTTGAGCCCTGTCCAAATATGCTAGATATTCTTAGAATATTGGAAAAGTTATACAAAAAAATTATTTTACAAAAAACAAGTCACATGCTGAGAATACAACTGATAGAAGTATTGGTGATGATTATGATTTTGAGTTTGCTGATGAATTCAATAAGAATGATACTTGTGAACTTGATTTCAAAGAGATTGGAATATCAACATTGGAGGATGCCATAAAACTTCACAAGGAATGTGCTGATGAATCAAGAAAGCAAGCATGGAAATACTTTGAATATCATTCAGATACTTTAAATAATTTTACAGTAAAATATTGGAAAGGGTATTATTTGTTGGAAGGGCTTGGTGGAGTTAAAAAAGATCCAAAGAAGGCAATAGAATTATTTAAAGAGGCAGCTGATAATGATGTTGCTAGTGCACAATTTCACTATGCATTTCTCATATCACAAAAGGTGTAAATTATTATAGAATGTCAGCTATGAAAAATCATGATCCAGCAATTAATAAAATTCAAGAGTTAAAAATAAAAATATATAATTGAACATTTTGTTATTTCGTTATTTATTTATTATCTTATTTTATATTATTATTGTATTGTGAAATAGTAAATCTTGGACCTATCAATTACCTGATTAATGTCGACCAATTAGAACGAACTTACTACGGAAGTCATGTGATGCGCTAAAGATTAATGACCATCTTTCTATATATATACCGTTGAAATGGTGCGCCACACATTGCGTAGTGTCACACTAAAAAATATTCCTATTCATATTTCTATATTTATATTTTATTAATTTATTCAGCTGATGCAAATATTTATTTTGAATTATTAATCATAACTTTGTAATGCTCAGTTGACCCAAATATTTTATTAAGCATTAATAAGCATATATTATTGGAGAAAAGAATAGCACATATCATGTTATTTGTACTGACCCAAGAGGTATAAATACACTTTGCTTTAGACCAAGTTAAAGGAAGAATTAATAATCATTGTTAATATTGTTGATAACAACCTTGATAACAATAACATAATAATAATAACTCTTAATAAATATATATAACCTTACATAAAATAGTCATTGACTGCAATCAACTACTAAACCCAATATGGTTGACCCCCAGCCTTTCTGATGATTAATGGTCTGGCCAACCTTTAATTATTAGTTGGGAACCCTTTTAATTATTCAGTTACATCTCAAGGGGACGCCTTTGGGATATAGTTAGTTAAATAACCTATACAGGCAACTAAGCTGTAAGATAAAAGTAACTTTGACCATAAGTCAGTGAGTAGGGCTGTGTGTCATATAAAAGGAACATTGACCATAAGCCAGTGAGTAGGCTGTGTTCAAACAAAGGGACATCCAGGTGAGTAGGCCGTAAGATAGTGGAATCAACCATAAGTCAGTGAGTAGGCTGTGTGTTGAACATAAAATAACCTATTAAATAGGAAACTCGGATTGCATGCTTGCAGTATAATTATTAAATGACTAATAAATTAAAGGTTATGGATTTACTTACATTTAGGTTGACATGTGCAGTATAATTGACATTTTCAATAATAATAATATAAACAGTATGAATATTTTTTCTTCAAAACCATAATAGTATTTATTGATGATTTATCAATATTGAGAAATGGGAAATTTTTACAAAACAAACATTAAAAAGAAAATTCAATCAATTAAAACATCATTTTAACATTTAGGCGAACATATTCTTTTCCATGTTAGCTTGCATACTCAATGGTTGTTTGTCAAGATAATAGTTATTGGCATAGATTGGGTGTTATTTATTTATCAATTTACTATTTTTCTATTTTAAACAAACATTAAAAAGAAAATCTAATCAATTGAAACATCATTTAACAATTATGCAAACATATTCTTTTCCGTGTTAACTTGCATATTCAATGGTTGATTCTGCCAAGGTAATGGTTATTTAGTCTACAGTTTGATTAATTATTGTTATGTGATCATTAAACAAAAATCAACATCAAATATCATCTAATGGGTAATAATACTATCATAAATAATAATTCTATAGTACCTTGTACCTTTTCGTGTGAAGAAAAATATGTATTAAGCATGAAAATAAATTCTAATTGTAATTCATAATTAATAATCCTATAGATTAGTTCCTTATAATTAAAGTCAAAATTATTCTAACGCAACCTTCCAAGTGGTTATATAAGTAGCAATTTGGTATAATTGTTACAGTTGAGTTTGCTTTTTTCTGCACTCTAGCTCTCAAATAAGTGTGAAAAAAGAAAAAATTTCAAAATAACCAATATTTGAGCTAGCCTCTTCTTTAATGGCTGTTAAAAAGTTCTAGTTTAAGCTCTGGAATTTTATTATGGTTGAAAAATTGTTTACTATAAAAAATTTTTTTTTCATGATTTTTTATTTTTTTTTAGAAATGTGATAATGAATTTCAAATCAATCAAAAAATTAGGTTTGTGTGACAATCTGAAATAATATCATTAATATTAAGGCTCCAAATGAATCAATGAAATTTGAACCAATTCAAATCAAATCAAATCACTTAATTTTTGATTCGTTTCATTCAAATCAAATTCAAATCAAATTGAATTGTACTTTGATTTGATTTGATTTGATTTGATTTGAACTGATTTGAATATATAATTTGATTTGAACAGATTCGAATTCAGATTGATTTGATTCAATTTGAACAGATTAGAATATATAATTTGATTTGAATGGATTCAAATATATAATTTGATACAATTTGAACTGATTCAAATATACATGCAGCCCAAATTATAATCGTGTAGTTATCCGCAAAAATACCCGCAAATTTGCGCAGTATTTTGTGAAACCGTGAGAATATTCGAAAAT